TGTGTGTGTGTGTGTGTGTGTGTGTGTGTAATTTATAATAATATACAAATAATTGCTAATATAAAGACTACTACTACTTCCCATCTACTCCTACACTATTACATCGAAGAAGTCGATGCCTGGAGCTTAAAGCATATCATAATGTATTTACTAAGAACCTGTTATATATAGTGTTCATTTCAGATAAACGTATCAGTGCATCAACACACTGTAGTTCAAAGTACACTGTAATGTAATTTACATCCCGCTGTAAGGCCAAACTTAACAGATAACACAAGAAAAACAGGTAAACTCAGTTACTTTACAACCTCCCTCAAGGTTAACTATCCATGAAGAACAAAGATCAGTGTAGAGCAGCAGGGCTGTTGAGTGCAAGGCTAATTACATGATTTAAACAACATTTCAAAATGAAAAAGAAGAGAGTTTATAGCTTATAGACACAGCTTTAAAAGTTTATACTTATTGAAATATGTATGGCAAGTATATTTAAGGTAACTATTTATTTGTATTATTCTGATTAGCTCGTTTGTTTGTTTTAATGAAGCTTTAAAAGGGCTTTTATTTTGAATCTTTAGAAGCTGTCACAGGAAGTAAAAAGCTGCTTCTGGCTTCACGCTTCCTGGTTGATATAAAGACGCTCTGATGGGTTCTGGTATTCTTACTGGTGTTTTCTGTTAGATGACTGTGTGTTTATAAACTGTTTACAGGAGGTGTGTTACATGCGTGTGTCTTACTTGCCCTTTGTGTGCGCAGAAAGCACATGCACTTTTAGAAATGGAGATGATAAGTCTTGTTTTGAATGTAAACTCTAGATGCCAGCTCCATAAAGAGCTAATCAACACTGAGTGTTAGTTGTTTTGGTGGGGATGATTTAGTGTGTGTGTTTCTGTGCCATCAGACTGACACTTATTATGATTTATGATATTTGTTATGATTAGGCACAAACCAGAACACAATTAGAGAACAATTACATTGCATCACAATACAAGCATGGTCTCAATGAATGAGAAAATAGAGTTTGAGTTGAGTTTATTCAGACTGTGGTCCTCTGCTTTTGTGTGAAGCACAATGCCTTATTTTGGCTCGGAGGAGACTGTAAAAGAGCTCAAGCGAGCTCTGTCCAATCCAAATGTCCAAGCAGACCGTCTCCGGTACAAAAACTACATCTCCAAAGTCATCAGGTCTGTGTAATGATCACTTCTTCTTTACTGAAAGAGACCATTTTCAAAAGTACAAATGAATAGCTTACCCACAAATGTAAATTATTATCCTGTGAAACAGAAACAGAGCTATTTAGCAGAATGTTCACACTGCTCCTTTCCATACAGTGAAAGTGAATCAAACACGATGAAATGGAGACTTGTTGTCAAGAACCAAAAGGACAAAAAGCACCAAACAATCACAGAAAACCTGGAAATATCAGCCATTTAAAATAGTGTAATAATAATTGGAAATTATTAATTAATTTTAAATAAATAAATATTATAAATAATGCATCAGCTAGATATTGCTTGTGTAGTAGAGTGTGTAGAATATAAATTGTTTGCAAGAAATAGTGATGAATCAGTTGAACTGGTTCACAAATCAGTTTGAAGGATTTATTAGCAAATTGCAGGTTCATGGAAAAGTCATGAAAATTCATTGGTTAAAAATCCTTGAGCAAAAAAGTATCATGAAGAAGGCGTATATTCTAAGCCTTATAAGGCAACAACTGTAAAGAAACAGAATAGCATTCAAGTCATTATTCATTGCACTTCACAGCTTGATTTCCACCTTAACTCTTATTGTTAGCTAGACAGAACTAAATGTTGACAAATAAGACATAAAGCGATTTCTGAGGCTGTTGTTTGATTCTTTGTAGGTACATGACAGGGTCTGGATGTCTCCACTTTATTTATGGACATGGTGAAAGCCAGTGCCACAGTGGATATTGTTCAGAAGAAGCTGGTATATCTGTACATGTGCACCTATGCCAGTGACAAGCCTGACCTGGCGCTGCTGGCCATCAACACGCTCCGTAAGTACTGCGCTGATCCCAATCCCATGGTGCGAGGGTTGGCCCTGAGCAACATGTGCAACTTCAGGTTTGTATGTTTTAAATCATTTATTTTCTTCTGTCTGCACTCAAACAATAAGCCTTGCAACACCCTAGCAACCTCCTGACCTCCCTTTAGCAATCATTTAGCAACACCCTTTCATCCTTTCAGAATTCTACAACAACCTAGCAACCCCCTAACAACCACCCAAGGCACCGTAGCAATCACTTAGACACCCTAGCAACCATTCAGAACACAACAACAACAGCCAAACAATGTCCCAGAACACCACAACAATTAACCTAGCAACCCCCTAACAACCACCCAGAACATGGCGACAACATTCAAACAATGCCTCAGCAACAAACACTGCAACAGTTGGCTTTGCTACACAAGCAACTACCCAGGACACCTTAGTGATCACTTACCAATAACCTAGCAACCTCCCAGGACACTGTAACAACATCTTAGCAACATCCTAACAAGTAATGCCCTAGCAACCACACAGGACCACCAACAACCACCAAGGCAACTTAACAATCACTTAGACACCCAATCAACCATTCAGAACACAATATCAAGAGCCAAACAAAGTCCCAGAACACCCCAACAATCAGCCTTGCAACACCCTAACAATCAACATCCTAGCAACCTCCCAGAACACTTTAGCAATAACTTAGCAACTCCCTTACAACCACCAAGGCAACTTAACAATCACTTAGACACCCAATCAACCATTCAGAACACAATATCAACAGCCAAACAAAGGCCCAGAACACCTCAACCATCAGCCTTGCAACACCCTAACAATCAACATC